TTTTTTTTTTTTTTTTTTTTTTTTTTTTTTTTTTTTTTTTTTGGAACGAGAGACCAAGTCGATTTTTGTAATCGAAGCGAAACTTCGTATTAGTGAAGGATACGGGCCTTTCCTCGGATCGTTCGATACCGATCTTTCGTCTTCCATATTCGAATTTACCGCCATCGGAAATTTTCGTATATTTCGATTTTAGGGAGGAAAATCGTGTCGATGCGGTTAATGGTAATTTTGCATTACAGTCGATCGCCATTTTTGCCGATTTTTTTTTTATATTAATGGAGGATGAATCCCTTTTGGATTTGTCTTTCGTATAACTATTTTTGCCGATTTTTTTTTATATTAATGGAGGATGAATCCCTTTTGGATTTATCTTTTGTAAAGCGATTTTAGAAAGGAAAATTGCAGTAATAGGAATATGATAATTTTGCATTATAGTCGATCGCCACTTTTCTCGATTTTTTTTGTAATTAATGGAGATCGGATCGTTTGAATTTTTCACCTTTCATGTTCAAATTTATCGTTACTAGAACTAGCGTATAGCAACTTTCGTATGGAATAATGTTTTTACATTGTCGCCATTCTTTTATGCCGATTTCGAAGAGGAAAAATTTCTCCACGATTTTTAAACATTCCATTAGAAGCGCTTTGAATCGAATTTTTTTAAACTTTCAATACCACCCCCCTCCATTTCTCGCGAAACGCTCCCGAAACGAATCGTTAAATTCAACTCTCGGAACGATCGATCGAAAAACCATCTCCAACCTCTCCCACGATCTCCTTCTTCCCCTCAGGTAGGAGGGGATTTCGATCGTCAAACGCGCAAAACGAAAGGACGAAAATTCCAGTGGACGTTGATCGAGCAGCCGGGGCGAGAAGACGGTTGACCCGCGGCGGACATAAATCGTGCCAATTAGAGCGGCGACCGGTAGTCGCGGGGGCCCGCGGGCCCCCGCTTGTATATCGCGCGGCACCTCCTCTTCTCCTGGGGGCTGCCCGTGAGAGAACACCAAAGGACAAATGTCTCAAAGGCTCGCCGCCGCCTCCCTACGCGGACCGCCTATCGTACATTTGTCCGGCCGGCTCAAGGGAGCCGAGGATAAATCGACGCCCCGAGATAAGGGGCGGATCCTCCCGACTCGGAGAGCCGAGGAGAAGGGGCTCGCTCACTTTTCACGAGCACCAATTTTTCTTATATACGTGTATACTTTTTTTTTTTTTTTTTTTTTTAAGTTGAAAAGATATTTATGTTGTTTTTCCACAGGTTAACAATAAGGAATCTTTTCGAGGCGAGTGCGGGGAGAAAGGGATGAGGACAGGAAGACGAGAAAGAAGGAAGGAATAATCGAAGACATCTTGAAAAGGGGAACTCGGTTGTTTCATCATTATTCGAGCGCACCTGTGCGTTCTTCCTGCGTTTCTTCGTTGCCAACCCTCGTTGCATTGCAAATAAGGATTATCCGCGACCTAACCTAACGAGCCTTCCTTTGCACCGTATTCGTCTTTCGATCGATTTCCTTATTTCGTTTAATTTCAAATTAATCAATTACATGATTCTTTGGAACTATTTTTTAAAAATATTTCAAAATTGCCGCCAATGTAAATAGAATTTTTTAATTAATCGATCGTTTAATCGTTTAAGGATTCGCGTTTTGTTACCGTATGTCGATAATTTAGTTATGAGCGGTGCAATAAATAATCTCGTCGATCGTGTTATTTCTTAACAAAAATATAATATTATTGATGAAATTTATGGATAATTTTATGAATCGTGTAAATGGAGGCGTTGATGTTTGTTTTGACGAAAATAAGTGAATATTCGATGAAAAATAAAACGATCTAATAAAAATACAAAAATCCGTTGAATTTTCCAATGAATTAATAATCGAAGAAATCTTTCATACTATTCACAATGGATTAATTGAAGTAAAAATTTATCGAATGGAATCGATTAGTAGCATTCCAGATCGTTAATAATTAAATTCGATTGTTTACTGAGAATGATCGATAATTAAAAGTAGATATGAAATGGTTGATACAATTTGTAAGAAATTATAGTAAAATTCTAAAATAAAATCTTAATAAAGTTACTAAGTTTATTTGAAATTTAACTTATTTCTTTGAATAATTTTAATAAATTATTAAATTTATCGAACTAACCTTAACTTCAATTAAAAAAATTTTCTAGTGTGAAAAAAAATCGAGTCAAAAATCGATTCACAATCTTCCCCGTTTGTTATCGTTCCCCTTATTATTCCCCTCCATGCTCTAACCGCCTCCAACACCGAAAAATCGAATAAACAATTTCTTTCCCTATCCCACGTCCCATGCCGACAAATTTCTCACGCTTCCCCCTCTCACGCAAGCTTCTCTCTCCAAGCTTCTCGATACCCGAAAATTTTCGCTACGTTCACAGTCCAATTAACGGCGACCCCTATAGACCAAAATATTCGTCGTTTATTTCTCGTCTAATTAACGTTTTCCAAGAGTCGATCGTTCTCGTCGAAAGAAAGTTCCTAAACCAGGCAAGCTCTACGAAACGAAGGAAAGGAGTTCCAAGGAAAAAGGAGCGTGGAAGAGAGACGAAGAGGAGCGCTCATTAGCGAATACCATCGACGGATTCGAGAATTCACCGTACCTGCGCGCGCGTCTCTTGGCTCTTTTTAATTGGCCAGATTAGTCCCGAAATCGCGTATACCCTTTCCACGACGCTATCCCCTCCACCGGCCGTCGCTTCTATCTTTGTTCCCTCGACGCAGAGTCTATCGTTTCATCCTTCACTCGCCTGTTGCACGCGCGGCCTCTGGTGGACATAAGGCGGACCAGTGTCCTTTCTGCACCGCCGACACGGAATATCGTCCTCGTTAAAATACCTGGAGAACCGCGACGAAATCGAAATTTCGAGGTTACACGAAAGGGAAGGGAACAGGAGGGAGAGA